AAAATTTTGGTTTTGTCATAGGTTGTTTTAATTTAAATATAAACTATGATGTATAGAATATGGAAGTAATTTTTGTAGAATAACATGATAACTATTGGAATAGAGAAAGAGTTTAAGATTAAACATTTGGTTGTGAATAGATGAATCTTTTTATCATATGATGTCACCTTGTTTTTTCTATGTGGCATAATAATAGAATTACTTTTTTTACATATTTTTATTTTAAAGTGTTGTGATATCCTCAAGCTCTTTTGATGACGTAATTTAACAGTGTTGCTTTTCTAGTTTTGTTTAACCCTTAGCAGGCTGTTTGAATTTCATTCAGAATATTTATAATAACCTGCGCATTATAATTACAACATGTGTGTTAAGGTTTGTTTACCCTCATCCCCGGAATAATTTCCATATGGTCGAGCATATACATTATTTATAACTACTACAATTTAGGGTTCTAATATCATATATCAAAAAGTTATATCAGTTTCTGTGTATTTGTGTGTAATTACAAGGGATGTCATGTATATCTTTAATTGGTGATATTTTATTTATGTTTTTCAAAATGTTTATTTGAAATAATGCATTAACATTGCATGTCCTTTTTATTTAAGAGTGGTCCATCAGTAACGATTAATAATCCTGTTGAAAGTGTTGTGATAGATTGAAAATTTCTTTTATGAATGAACTAATCAGTTAACTAAAAACAACAGTAAACAAAACCTGACTAAAACCATTTTAAAAGGGAGATAATTTTATAGTGTGCATAAACTACATTGTCCTGCAAAATCAATTACTTTTTCTGGCAATTTGCACAAACAGCATAAATAGTTGGTTTGCACAGGAAACAGGAAGATGGCACAGGAAACAGGAAGATGGCAGGGTATACCTTCTTCTGAAAGAAAATGTTCCTTTTGTAATGATGATGTAGGTGACGAATTTCATTATTTGTTCAAATGTCAAAAGTTTTTTGAGGAAAGAAAAAAGTATTTAAAACAGTATTTTTGTGTTCATCCCATTTTTTTCAAATTAGAAGAATCGTTTAGTAGTGAAAATAAAAGTTTACTGAATAAACTTATATTATCGAATATTAAATCGAATATTATTATCGAATATAAAAATCGAGTATTTTCTAAAAACTTGTAACACTGATTACCTGGATTGCTTGTTTACTTGAAAAATATATCTATTAGCTATATGTATGTTTATTTGTAATGTTACATGTATGATTTGGATATGTTTGTCATTCTCTATTTACATAGCACAGTGCTGCACTTGTTAATATGCCGCCATTATTCACTGTAATTATTATAAACCGATGCTTATGTTGTTTACTTGATGTAAACCTAAGATGGAAATAAAAGTTTGAAGTTTGACAGTCTTAAAGTACAAACGTTTGGTTAAAGAAAAACAACATGTAATTGAAAGCTGTTTCTTTGTAATTATGATCATAATAGGGACAAATTGAGTAAAAATCCACTTTTGAAAATTTTTCCAGGACTTTAAGGTAGATAGTGAAAAAGGTTAATATATTATTGTTGTATATTAGATAGATAGTATAAAAATCTGATATTTTTTCATTAACTAACCAAAGTGAATTATTTTGTTTCCATGTATTCACATTCCATTTTATACCTTTACTTTATGCAATACTATGTTTGTGCTTTATCAATTATAAACTAATTTATTATTATTGATTCCAGCGCAAAAAATGTTATTAACCTGTTCTTATATGATCTATATTTGTTCATGTTTGTATTTTGAAATTTATTACATTTTACTTATGAGAGCTTTAAATGGTGTTGTTTTCTCCACATTTTTCTCACACCAGGGTCTTTGGAAGACCCTGCTTACACATTAAATGCAATATGAATGATAGAATATTCATAAAATTATGTTTGAAAATGGTTTTCTAACTGTTTTGTTTGTTTAATTAAAGTGTTTGTAACATGATTTTAATTTTTAACAAATGAGGATATTGTTTACAGTCAGGAAATTTTTTTTCTTTCTGAAAAGTTGCTTGACTTTCCTTCCATCCTTGTTTTTGTCCTTTTCGAATTTCCATAGAACATTCTTTTATCATCTGATATGTCAGATATTTCATGTGTTCATATCTTCCATGGAAAGGTGTCTGTGGCCTAGTGGTTAAGGTTTTACACTTCAAACCACTTGCCCCTCAACTCTGTGGCTTTGAATCCTGACAGGGACTGAGGAATAGTGAATAGCTAGGTTATGGAATGTTGGTGGTTCTACTCGGGTACCTGTTAGTGCCTAGAATAATGCACAGAAGGGCAATTGAGGTCTTCCTCCACCAGTAAAGCTGGAAAGTCGCCAGATGATCAATATTGTGTTGGTGTGGCATAAAACCCAACCAAATACTTCAGAAAAAAGCTTCCATAGACCTGTATCCTAGGATAGGTTTTCACATTGATAGGGTAAATAGCCAGTAACATTGTCATTGAAGCTTGAAATGTGGTAGATTTTCCTACTTTTCTACATAGTAAGCTTTGTCTAAGCAACAGTTTAAATCATTTATAGAAGATACTCATCATCTTGTGGATTTTTTCAGATAAAGTAAAATGCAATTAGATGTAGAGTATATAATATGCACTCTGTAAAGTCGGACATGACATCAGCTTAAAAAAGTTAAATGCAGTTAAATTTGAATTATAATGGATATTTGTTTATTTTTCATGTATATGTATATAGATTTCTTTTTTATGCTTTTTCAGTGAGATACTAAATATATCAATGAGATATAAGTCATATCAGTTTAATTGGAACTAAGTGAGAAATGAAATATAGAATTTTAGTTCCCATTCTAATCATTGAAAGCAAAGTACAACACAATATCTTAATAAAACAAAACATTTTTTTTTCACTTTCTTCTTAAAAAAAAATCAATAAAAAAATCACTTTATTCAAAATCACTCTGATTAATGTAAATTTTATCCCATACACATTTGTTGTGTATTTTAAGTTTTTTTGTTGTTTTTTTTTTATAAGAAATAGTAAGTTTCCACAATTGGTGAATAAAATGACTGATATAATTTATATGCCACTGATAAAACCTAGTTTTGATTAACTAAGCAATTTTCATGTACTAGCATTTAAGTTTTGCATTTGAAGATATCAGTTTTTCTATCATTCCATTTTATACCATTTTTACCTAATATATATATACATATATCTGCATGTAGTTTGAACATATTCTATTAATTTTTATTTGTTATTGCCTTATACAGACTGGCTTCTGTTTTAGCTATGCTTTTCAAGCATTAAAACTATGAGAAAAAAAAGTTGTTGTTTTTATATTTCTTTAAGTGAAGCAGGGGACCAGTTTTATATTGTAGCTTGTGATTGGTCAAATCATACCAAGGAATTGACCAATAGTAAAATTTCTTTCTGGAACTGGTTCACCATCATTGCTAAAGGTTGCTTTAGTCTCAAGAAATTGTTCTGTAAAACTAAATTGCTATGACAGTGTAACGTTAAATAATATTATAGTATTACGGATTTTTTATTTGGTCTTGTATTTGGAGATTACAAATCAAATGTTAACTGCTATTATTAAGTGCATAAGTCACGATTCGGAACTGTTCACTATTTAGGGGCGATGATGTGTAAGCGGCTGGACAGCTCAGTCTGTAGAGCTGCGGTACGTATTGCGATGGGTCCGATTCCTGGTCAGGCATTTCATGACACTTCCGGTTGTATAAACCGAGTCTTTGGTGGCACAATTAAAAAATCAAGCTCGTGGCATAAAGTTACCTTTTGCAACTTGCAGACCGGAACAGCTCTTGCTTAATGACACATAAAGCTTCAGATTTTCCTCTTGCTTCAGTGGATTTGGATCAACCTGGATCAGGTATCAAACACCTCAAGAAAGCACCAATACATTTAGTAAAACATAAAAGGTAAACTAAGTGGTATTTTTTGTGTCGCATTCGAAATACCAGTTCATTATAACTCTTCTATTAATGGTCACAAAGTTAAAGAAACAAGATGGTTCAGGTTTATGGCAAGTACGTATCCTTACACAAAAAATAATGTTTATGGCCGTGACCAAGGACGTGCCAGGGATCGCCTTTGCAATGTGAAAATATCGACATTGCACATGTCTCTTGTCAGTCTTAAAATAATTTGAAAACGTTTATAATAAATTATGTCTTTAATATGGTTTGATGTTGCGCGCATAAATTAAAAGGCTATGCCGTTTTAACTTTTTATGTTGTTTATTTACGTTTGCTTTTCCAAATAGTGAATCATCCAAGGTATGGAAATAGAACATCACCTTGCGCAATAAAATCATTGTTTTAGAGATAACCCGGTCAGAAAGTCGTAAAAGGATTGCCGATGTATGTAAAGTATACAAAAGATTTAAAGATTAATTATTCAGAACCAACAATGAGTATTAAAGTACAGATTATATAGGTTTGCCCGGGCCATCTGATAATAATTAACTAGAATCTATTTCAGGAATTCACGAACTCCAAATTTTATTACTCAACCTTAGCAGGCGACCATTCCCGCAATTTTTCTTGCTTATTTGCGATTTAAAGTAGCTGTGAAGCATGTGTGGGTATAACATCAATCCTGTAAGAATGTAAACGTATTGTGTTGTTGGTCCTCAATATAAATTCGGCCATTTTCGTGACTGTATCAAAATTCAGGCATTACTATTTTAAAATTTGCTTATATGTTGTGAGACCTTACCATGTTTGATCAGGATCAAATTTAAAAACTCAAATTTTTCCATTATCTTCAAAGCTTAAATATTTAATATTGATTTGATAAAATTGGACTCGAAAAACTTGTTTATGAAATTTTAGATTTTTTTTTGATTTTTTTTTTTTTGCATTTGGCAGTTGATCCAAATATTGATCAATTTTAGTTTTATAAAACAATGAAAATAAAATCAGGATCATTTATCCTGATCCTGATCTTTTCTTAGTGAAAACGAAGTCTGAGGACCTTTAATGATTTCATTTAATCCCACATTTTCCCTACATCAACAAACATCGAGCCTGCAGTTATTTTTTTTTTTTTGCTTTTTTTACTTGGCTTCTTCTTTAAGAGAAAAGCCAACATAATGAATAAAAAATAGAATTTATGTAAACGCAAAAATGTTTGCAACTAATTAACATCTGTCAATTCTATATCAGTCACACAATGTTCCACATAGTCACTACATTTTATATCACTAACGTCGGGTCAGCTAAATTATTTGTACGAAATAGATTTCCGTTGTTTTTATCTTACTGGACATTACACGTTTTTGAGTAATTTTGCTGGACAGACTGCGGCAAGTTGGTTTTCCGTCGAGAAAACAATTTATTTATCACCTGAAATTGAAAAGAAATAACAAGGTAAATACATATCTTAATAAAAAATATTATCAATTTGTTCATAAGTTATCAAATTTCTTATACACATTTTTATTTCTCTAAACATGTATACATAGACTATCTGTACTTCTACCTTTGAATGCTCAAACCTTGAACAATTATAGTGATACCATAAAAATCTGCCTTCAAAAAAATTAAGACTTGGAACTACTTTTTAGCGAATACTACTAATGAATACATTTGGAATGCCTCGTCGATATATACTTGTATATATAAATATATAAATAGTATAGTCATTTATCGAAGTATAGCTAAAACGAAACAGACCCAAAATAGGCAAGAACCATTAAGATAGAACATTTGAATAATCATGAACTTAATTCCATACCCATCTATACTTTTTCTGTGTGGTAACAATATTATCGTAATGTTTCATTGGATTAGCCAAGTGTGTTAAAAGAAATACGTACAAAGAGAACTTCATGGAAATCTAAGGTATCGCTACCGTCTAGATCTATTTCTTTAAAGATCGTGGTCAGCTGATCTGGTGTGAATAACCCAACGTTATCAGACAGAACTTTGTCCAACTCCGCTATTTCGATAAACTGATAAAATCAAAAATGATCGATAGATTGTATTGTATAATATATTAAAGAAAAGTATCCAGTGCTAGAAAATAGCCAAACAATATGAAAATCAAAGATTAATTCTTTATTGTTTTGGATGATTACATGGTGTCGTATATTCAACCAAAACAATGGTTCCATTCAGGCACGAATCTTTTGCATTCTATTATAACAATTTAAAAATAAATATGTCTGTACAGACAGAAATGGAAAAGCAAAGATGGAATCTGTACATAATAAAAATGTTATGTATAACGCATTCGTCAGAGGTTTCCTGTCAAAGTTGCCCTTGACAACAAGTTGAGTCCGATGATTGAATGTTCATTATAAATATATAGCTGTTAATCGGATGTAAAGCAATATACTGTACGGGGAATGCGAATACCTACCCCACTATTATCAGTATCCGCTTTAATAAACTTTTTCTCAGCGTCCAAAATCTGGTGCATCGGTAATGTTGGAAACTTCTCCGCAAGTTTCTGAAAAACATGGGTAAATATATTTTATAATTTTAATTATGACCAGTTATTGTCAGAGCCTTTACAGTCTTTATAAACAGAAATGAATGATGATTTAAGAGTATTAAAAAGCTATACTGGACTGACCGTAAATGTCCGAATGATTGTTAACATTTTGTAACAAAGTACTTAAACTGGAAGAATAATTATTGAGAGGGTTAGCGAATGTGCGAAATCATCGACAAACCTACAAAAATAGCATTAGGTTTTTTTTAATTCGTTAGTTATCTTATACATAATTCATGTGCTATCAGTAAAAAAGACACTTTTTTTTATCAAAACCCTCTGATGATTAAAGAAAATGAAAACCAGAAAAAAATGATATTAACGATCAGTTTCTGAAATTTGCATATATTATTTTCGCCAGCTTTAACTTCACTTTCATTAATACCAGCAATTACATATGTGACAATATAAAATTATGTCACTTGGTCATTTGAAGACAGTAAATGTACATGTACCCAATAATATTCTCTTGAATCTGCCACTGGCTCCAAATCCTTCACGGGCGGATGATAAAGGCCACCCTCTGATGCGCGCGCAGAACTTACAAAACTTGTTTGTCTTGATGTACTTCCGGTACTGACTGCGCTTTTTACGGACATTCGTCTGCCTTTAGAAGCTGGATCCGATAATTTCTTTTTTCCTGCAGTTGCTGTAGTTGTTTTCTTAGTTTTGGTTGATTTTTGATTAGCCTCTAGATCTTTTAATTTCTAGAAATGAAAATTTCATATAGGAAATATAATCAAGTTTAAATATCGGTTTATGTCTCGGCTATGGGTATAAGTGAACAATTCAGCAGTGTCGATGCTGCTCTTGTTGAAATATTTGGTACAAAAATCACGTTACATTGAAATACGGCACCATTAATTAACCAACTGCCATTAATTAACAGTCAATGCATGGGTAAACGCGCCTACATCTTAAGATCACAAGAAATACGGAATTTATTTAAGTTTGTTTGTGTACAATGTACTTGTCATATTATATCGAAAATGTGTCTTGATTGTTGAACAACTTTGCAAAAATTGTCATTTATTTTAACTTCTTAATAATTCATTTATTATTATATAAGTTAGTGTGATAATTTTATCGTAAATAAGCTTTTAGCTTAATGGGCAATCCTAGGGTAACATAAAAACATACAAATTAATCTTTTTTTGTTGTTGCTTTTTTGTGTGTTTTTATATATAGATATGCAAGTTGATATATGTGATACTATTGTATGTGTTTATGTATATTCCCTGAATAAATCGATACGAAGAATTGACCAGTACAAGTTTGAATAATAAAAAAAAGAATGAAGATCAACAAGGCAAGGGCAACGTTCAAAGGATGCAGCCCCCAGACACACCCAAGTAGGGCACCCAGAAGGCACCAAACTAAACCGGGAGTGGACATAAGGACTGCAATCAATCATTCAATCACACAGTGATCGCAAGAATAACAGGTACTTGTGCTCGTAATATACCATACACTTTCAATGATATAGAATTGCAATAAATGAAACAGTGATTCCGTTTACCAACTGTGAATAAGGAGAATCGATTCGGAGTAAATGAAATCCTGTGATTTTGGGTCAACCAATAACCTGGTAAATTCCTTAAATGGACTTGACGAACTTCCAGTTTTGGAACAGGTTACTGTCCATTATCACTTTTGGAGAAATGAAGATGAGAAGTTAGCCAGTCAACAGCCTACATTGTGGTCAGGCTGCACGAATGATCAGATTGGCCTGTTTCTGGTGTTAGGGTCCAGCAGGGTATAACGAATTACTAGTTTACACATTATGGGCATCTTTTCCGTGGTCAGACAATTTGAACTGATGTTGAAATAATTGAAGTTGTCTTTAGATTATAGAAAAAAAATCTACAATTCGTCGTTTTAAGATTCATTGTTATTTTAGGGGTTGTTTCAGATCAGACAATAGGTATAATTTTGTCATCGCACTTTTTGCCTATTATGGAGTTTGGTTTTTTTTGAAAAAAAAAGTCAATTTAGGCCATTGAGATTTAGGAAAAATGGCTAGTCAGTTCTGTTACAATATGTAACCCTATGGCAAAGAGAGTGTTTTAACCAATTGGAAATCTTGGTGGTCGTTCGACACGATCAAATTGTAAATGCTGCAAACTCGGTTTGAATGGGCCTAACCATGTCTGTAGACATCGCGAGTTTCTATAATAACATTTTAATGAGTCCTTCATCGTTTGCAAGTCACGCGACAGAAAAGATATGCAATGTAGATCTACTGGATATATGTTAGAGTTTTAATATTGATGCAACCAACTGTCTGGTTAGGATACCGACACTATTGATTTAAATATATGTATTTACGCAAGAACGTATTTCTTTCTTCCTTTTCGAATTCATTTCAGAATTGAATCAGTGACATACTGACATTGTGATATTTGTGCCTTAGCTATTTTTTGTTCAAAACAAGCAAAACTGTAACACAGTTCTATAAATAGCAAATACATGAAACATTCTATGATGGTGATTTTAAAAAATCCAGTTGAACAGTTTTTGAAATGATTGATTTACCTTTTCCAATTCTTCAGTAAGAAGTATAGAGTCGTATAGTTTACACTGAGTCTCTCTCAGTTCCGCTTTTGCTTTCTCCGCCTCCTCAACAGCCGCGTCTCTCTCTTTTATGTACTGTACGAACTCCGGCGTAACTTCTTGTGTCTCGGACATGGTTGTTAGGCTCGTCAAAATTACCTAATAAATATCATAAATTTGTGAGAGAACAAAATGCCCATGTTAGCTATTCGTTATTACCATAGTAAAATGAGTTTCACTATATGATAAAAAATGTATAGAAAAAGAAGAAAAGAGAACAAACCTTATCATGTTTAAATCCAGATATTTTCCACTTTGAGAAGTACGGGGTGTGTGGTGCGAAGCCTAGCTCCGGTCCGAGCCCATCATACTCGTTTTGATAATTCCTTTCAAGAATACTGTTGACACTGTCCGACCTTGACCTCCCTGGTAGGGAATTGATTAATCCTCTGTGATGTGTTAAAAAATTCTCATTCAATTCTTTAATAGACTGTAGGGTTAATTGTTTGAAACTATGTTGTTTAATTTCACTCAGGCCGTGCAGGTTCCCGCCAGTATAGCTCCGCTGTAATTTCGGACGATTGGTTTTGACTAAAATGTCCTTGTTCTTTGCAAATCCGTTGATCGTGGCACCAATCGACGGTAGCCGCGAAATTTCCGAACAATGCGAAACCAATGGATTTCTAAAGGGAATGAAAAAATAACCGTATCGTAAATTTGTAAAATTTAAAATAATAGAGTACAGTCATGTACTCCTATATTACAAGGAAACAATTGTTAATATCCACAAAAATATTTAATTCAATATAAATGATTTGAAAAAATGTGAATATTACATTACATAGGTATGAACTATTGTTTTAAAGCTCCAATTGTTTATCAATGGAGAACATCCACTTTGTTATAACGATTTTATATATAAATGAAACTTCATAGCTTGGATTTAAAATACCGTTTTTGTTAAAGAATACAAACTTATATCCATTCTCATAATTTAAGGTTCTACACGCATATAACGCAGGAACCTAGGAAAAAATACTGCAGGTTAAAACGTATGAAACACTTCTACACCCATATAGATCAAAAAAAAAATGGAAAATTTCTACACGCATAGTTATAAATGTATTAATAATTTTAAGGAAAAAAATGATGTTTTTGAATAAGGAATTAGAAAGAAAAGAATAAACCACTGATAAATTAGTAAATTTGACGTTGTATTTAATATCTGTGTTTAGCTACCTTAATTGTCTATAAAAACATGACCATTTGATTATCAATTTACCTTTAATGGTATTGAATCATAAATTCCTGCAATACGATAAAGCTTCTATATCAAAGATGTTTGTAAATGTGAAGAGGGCATTTAATAATGTTGGGACAATGAGGTTATTAAATCTGTTCACGAAGTTATTGACAGTACTAGTATATTTGTCAAGTTTTTATGCTCGTATATCAATATTTATTTCAGATATTATTAACATGAAAACATTTGAAGTCTCTATTAAAGTGGGCTCGTAAAAAGGTACGTCCGTCTATATAAACTATCTATATCTGAACTTAATACGAAAAAGTTTTGCCGTTAGTGGTACACATTTAATCATAAAGACTATTCATGAATTTTAACCATTTCTAAGATTTTTTATCATAAGTTTTAAGATTCGAAATATACGATTTTTATGTCTTATTTTGTTGATAATTAAAACTATTCATTTATTAATTAACAGGATGCTTAATGTTTTCAATACATCTATGAATGATATTAATGCAAGAAAATAGAAGTGAAACCGTGTGTTGAAGAATGACAATTTCACATATGTAAAACATCTATATATGTATATACACTACACTTTGTTAAATGATTATATATAAATAAGAAAAACAATGTTGTTGGAATTGTATGAATGCCACTATACAATTCCTGAGGCTGATAAATTCCGTGGAGAATTTATTTTTGGCCGAGAAGGATTGTCTTCGCTACAGAAAATGGAACACTTCTCACAGAAATAACTGACAACTTTTCAACTGAATTAACGGACACTACCTTTAATTAAATGGTATAAATTTCACTATGGCCATTCTGTCCATATATGCTCGACCTATCTTTTACATATTTTCTATCAACCACATTAACTTTGTACGTATTTTCTATTTACTATTAAACGGTAATTAATTAATTGATTGATGAATTAAATTCTTATGTAAAGAAGACGATGTTATTCTAGTATTATTTTCAAATGGTGAAGCCATGCATGCTCAAATCTTTTAAAAGAACTTTGAAATGAATACAGCAAAGAAGACGTTTCTGATTGACGAGAAAAAAATTCATAAATACATTTATGCACATAAATGTCTATAAACGATATTTAAATGTTAAAATTCAAAGACTATGATTTGTCGGTTTAACTCGGTCACTTATTTTGTCAATATATATTGGTTTCTTTATTATGATATGTGTGTGACTTTAAATGACATAGTTTTTAACGTGTTAGCTTTTTCAGACCATTTAAACAAGTATTCGAACTCGTGCATTTAAAATACAATTATGAAATCGAGGTATATCCGAATTTAAGTACTTTTTGACGATTGTGAAATATAGAAATATGTTGAGAAATATGTTGAGAAATGTTTTATATGAAGATATCAGTATAGTCAAAATTTGGTACCCTTTTTAAATGTTTAGTCACTGAATTAAGGTTATGATCGCGAAAGACGCTTGTTGTTTATAGCTTTAAAGCAAATCTGCCTTTCCAAAGCGTTACACATTTTAACTTGATGTATTTTCTTTGTCAATCGAAAATTATCATCTCCAAACATTTGATGATTGTGGATATAATGCATATATGTTGTTGTCACACACTGTTCGTTATTTTGCATGTTATAATAAAATAAAATAAAATGTCTACTGTCTACATGGTCTTTACAATTGAAATTAGTTCATAATGCAGGGCTTAAGGTTTGCAAATCGCGTGCTCTAGTCCACGCCACACGTGTTCTCGTGATGATTCTGTTCACGACAATAATTATGTCATTCTATATTTGACTTCAAGGTGAAAAACCTTTGTAATTTCTTGCTGTGGAAATAGTTCAATACTTTTGCAGCATCTTGAATAATGTCTTTCGTTTTTTAAAAAAAATATTGTTTATTTGTTGTTTTAACTCGAAAGAGACAAAGCAACGCAAAAAAATTAGATAAATAAAAGAAATCTAAATCATACATAAATATTAGAATGAAAAAGCAAAACCCGACAAAACAATCTAAAGGATTCACTATACTATTATGCAAATTAATTCAACGCAACAAATGACATGAACGATGAACATGCGCATGTGACAGTAATTTAATAGAGCGGTCGGACTCGGTCCATCGGTCACTAGTAAACAATCACAAAATATCGACATGCATACATATTTAGTATCATTCAGTTAATTACTGAATTCAAAATTTATAGCTCACC